AGCAGCAGTAGCCGAGTCCTGCCGCTTCATGGAAAGCGTTAATAAAAGGCTTTTCAGGAAGAAAACTGAAGACTCAGAGAACTGAAAAGCTGTATGAGGCCGTAACGTTCCTATAGACTGAGACGTTACGATAAGTTGATAGTGCAAAAATACCTTACAACAGGCCATTTTACTTTATTTTGAAGACAGTGTTTGTTTGAGGCCAGGCTGGATGGGGCTCTGAGCAACCTGGTCTAGTGGGAGGTGTCCCTGCCCATGCAGGGGGGTTGGAACTAGGTGATCTTTAAGGTCCCTTCCAACCCAAACCATTCTGTGATTCTATGATCAAACTTACAATGATTAATTGATTAATTACTATTAATTTATGTAATTAACTGATGTGCGACTTTTCTGCTGGCCTTTTTGAAGTATGTGTGAAGGACACCAGCCCAACTCAAAGAAGATGACTGAAGGGCACCCCTGAGGTCTAACAGAACCACAGTGAGTGAGGCTGTTGGAAACCTGAGACCAGGCTCCGAGAGACTTCTCTGACAGTGCTGTGGGAGAAGACCTGTAGTGGCAAGCCCAGCTCAAGACAGTTTCTAGGATAAACATCAAAGATCAGTTTCTCTATTTTCCAGAAACCCTTCAAAATTAATCTGTTCAAAATAGTACTAGTAGTGTGCAGATTCTTCATTTGTCACTAAAGTATACTGACTTTTTTGTTAAGCGTACATTACTTACTATTACTAAATACTCTCTGCAAATCCTTGAGGGTGAAGTAAATACTTTCTTCCTTGTCATTGTAGAGTGAAGATGCAACTAAGATAAGCTCAGAGCTTAGGGCAACATGTCATGCAACTTCTTGATAAGAAGCAGGTGGTAGGAAGTCAAGTAAAAATTACTGTCTTTGTAGAGAACTGGCTGTAACTGGCAAACTATCTGAGCTGCTGGAAAAATAATTGCTGCTGAATACTGCTGCTAAGCAGCTGAAGAAGCAAAGGTATCTACTTATTAGAATTTATATTGTAAAGATGATTCTTGAGGTCCCTTCCAACCTGACATTTTATGATGCTATGATTCTATTATTTTAATGTTGGTTGCTAATATTATGGGGAACTGTTTTGGGGTGGGTTATTTACCTTTTGGGATGAATTTCTAGCTTTCATCTCTGCTTTGAAGTGTACTTCCTGGGATGAAGGAGTAGGTTCTGGCCAGTGTTGTATTTTTCAAGTGTAGAATGGAATGTAATGTTGTGGATGTTGTATATCTAGACCTTTGTAAATAAAGGATGAATGGTTGGAAAGCTCCATGGTGGAGAAGGACCTAGGGGTGCTGGTTGACAGCTGACTTAACATGAGCAGTGTGTCCAGGTGGCCACAAAGGCCAACAGCATCCAGGCCTGCATCAGGAATAGTGTGACCAGCAAGAGTAGAGACGTGATTGTGCCCCTTTAATCGGGACTGGTGAGGCAGAAACAAGAGTTTCTTGGTAAAGACAGTTCTGGGAAAAGGTATCCCATGCTTCCTTTTTTCATTCATTTACCTGAGAGTAACTCAACTGTTACTTTTTTTTCCTAATCCTGGACTGCATTTGAAGAGAAAACTTTTAACTGATTCCTTTCTGGGTTAAGTTTGCTTGTTACTAAAGAGTACGTTTTTAATCTTGTCAAACTAGAAAACTTACAAAATGTTCCTTTGGACTAAAACGGTTGAGCTAAAATGCTGGATTTTCACTAATGATTATACAAAATTAATGCATCTCTTGCTTTCAATTTTTTTTAATGGTAGAATCAAATTCAACACCAGCAGAACAAGATAAAGAAGCTGGTACACATGGTGAAAACACTAAAATCTGTGAGGTAAACATGTATCTTTAATATGTATTTAGCTGTGAAATAGTAATTTCCACATGAAATTCATACTCATACAAGTTAATTTCACTTCTCCTGTTTTCACTGATAACTGAGAAGTTATAAAATGGATAAACATATCTATGTTCTCTGACTCTAGACGGGTGGGGATCTGTTTCTGTTTTGCAACTAGCCTGTAATGGTTTTGCCTTAGAGAATCTTAATTATTTTTTGTTTTTTTTTACAAAATTGTATATAACTGTTTTTAATACCTCATAGATAATTTGCAAAAAAATTATAGAAGTGATATTCTTTTTTCTTTAAAATTTTTATGTTAATACTCTGTCTTTCTTAAGGTGTAATTATGTTGTTGGAATATTTTGAAATGTAAGCAATGTTTTAATTGCGGAAATATTTGCTTAGGACTTGAGAGCTAGATTCACTGAGAGATTTAGGTGATTAATTTGTAACTTTTTAGGCATTTAAAGACCTACTTCTGTATATGTCTTCACAAAACCAATTAATTTGCAGACTTTAGTATTCCCTAGGTGTTTAAACTTCCATGAGTCCAGATAATTCCAACAGATAAATTGTAACAAAGAGGGATTAGGTGTGCAGTTTAGAGCTTTGGATTTGCAATTCATCGACAAAATCTGTTTTAGGCCCGTGCATGACTTCTGGATTTCAACTATGCTTACTTGCACATTACTTTGTTTCCATTTCTAAAATTCACCTTTCATGGATCTTAAGCAATCATAGTGGCCTATTTTCTTTCATATTTAAAGAATCATTAGATATTCCAATACAAGTCTACTTATTTGCCCTCCTTAGTTTTGAACAGATATATTCCAAGTCAATCAACACTTAGCTTTTATGTCATCTTCTGTCCTGTTAGATGTTTTAAAAGGACATTCAGATTTATTTTGCAAAGCAACGAAAAAAGAAAAAATAGGCATTCAGAAGTTACTTTAAGGTCATAAATGGATATTCATTTTAACTAGAAAACTGCTTCATCTTCATTTTGAAGAGTCTTTATCCATTTGACATTGAACTATTGTTCATTGCAACAAGTTCTCTTTCCCTGAACTAATTATCTCACTTTTGCATATGCAGGTTATTTTGTAAAGAGGAGCTGAAATAAAGCAAGGGAGCTCCCCTTCAGGGTTTGAAACATTTATTAAGACATTGGGAGAGGACAGAGACTACTAAAAAAGTGAGACTGAGAATTTGCTGAAGGTGTTTCAAAGATAATTTTCAAGTCCTGAGTGAACCTCTACTTGTGGCAACATGTCAAAAAAATTTTCTTCCCTCCAGGTAAGCTTGGGGAAACACTTTGCAAGAAGAGGAATGTTGTTGTTGGTTTTTTTTTAAATGTTAGTTGATCTTATCCTAAACTACCACAGCTATAATTACCAAGTAGAAAATTTATTATAAGCAGAAGGGTAAAGGTAAGAATGTGTCAGCAATGTGAACTTAACTGCCCATTTCCACTTACATATGTTTAATTTATATCACTTTAAATGCTCATGGACAAATTCTTACATTTCAAGTGATTATTAACATGATTGTAGTATAATTTGTAGTAGACATTTGCTACTAAAAATAATGTATTTGAGTAGACTTAGTGTATTTTAGGAAATGGTGTGTATATCTGGTCTCTAATACTGAGAAATACAGATTCACAGTCTTGGCTGTGTAGAGGTTGAAGGCTTGTTAAATGTACAGAAATTTCCAAAACTGATATAATGAGAAAGCATATCAAGTTTTGTTTCTCTGCTTTAACCTTATACCACCTTATTCTTTAAGGGAGTGAGTTCTGATCCAGAAGTTTTAAAAATCTTGAGAGAACGTGAAGAGCTTAAGTCAACGCTGAAAAAATTAAAGCGCCATGTGGCAGAAAATCAGGGTAACATCAAAGTTTTAACAGCTGAGAGAGATAGAATTCTCTGTCTTTATGAATGGGTAATTTTATTTATATTTGTGTGATTAATTAAAATAACTTCAGGTGATGTGCAAGAAAAAAATAATTCTGTTGTTTTTGTGTAAAAAAGAAAATAAATGTGAAACTGTTGTTTAAAAGATAGAAAAAAAGTAATGGAAATTCTATTATTTGAATCTGTCATGTAAATACAAGTTTTAAAGTGCAGTCCTGAGTTAAGAATGCTTTCCTGAATCAAAGAATACATTCATAAATCATTACTCCAGCTTCTATATTGCACAGTTCCTGGGATGCTATGCATTACCAGCCATATGCCACAGTAATATATTACATTATCTATTTCATCTTTGTGTTATGCTGCTGTTTTTACAAACAGGCACAGGAAGAGATTTCCCAACTTCGTCAGGAAGTTATAAAATACCCCAGAAGTCGTAGAAGAACTGTGACAGCTCAAGCTATGTTGAGACATGTGGAGATAGAAAGGGATACAGCACTGTTAGATTTCCGAAGGATGACTACAGAACGTGATAGCCTCAGAGAACAGTTAAAGGTTTGATTATCCCCCACACCCCACCCCAAGTTATTTTAAAATGACAACTACTTAGTACTGTAATTAAAGTTGCTGAAGTTTTCTATTCTTATCCTGAGAGTTAATTGCAGTATATGTCTGTGGTGAGTTCAAGCTTGTTCTATGTTGCTGTCGTTACTTCATACAGCTTTCTCAAGAGACTGCGTTTAAAGAAAAGGCTCATTTGGAACAGCAAATTGAAGAGCTCGAAACTACTATTAAAAATGTAAGGGAAAATGGTTATTTGTACAAGTAAATACCATACAGGTGATGTTCATGATTAATCCTGCAGGACCAACCTGACTGCTTTCTGTCAGGAAGCAAGAGGCTGAGAGCAGTGGATGTCACTTCCCAAAACCATAGCAAGGCTTCTGACACAGTGTTGTTGTATCCAGGTTAAGATACTATGGTCTGGATGGGTGGGCAGCTAGATGACAAAAAGACCCAGTCAGTCTTACTGGGTAATGGTTACCTTGGCCTGGAGGCTGAGCACATGGAGCACCACAGGGCTTTGTTCTGATGCCTGCCCTGTTCAACATCTTTACCAGTAACCTGAAGGAGGCAACAGAATGCATGCTCATAAAGTTTGCAGAGGACACCAAATCAGGGAAAACTGTTGATATATTCAAGAGCAGGGCTGTCACTCACAGGGACCTAGACAGGTAGGAAGAATGGAAAAAAGCAACCTTATATTTCTTTCTCATGAGGACAGTCAAGCAGTCCCCAGCCTTAGAGATTTTCAAGACCAGACTACACAAAGCCCTGAGCAACCTGACCTCAGAGTTGGCCTTGCCTTGAGCAGGAGTTTAAACTGGAGATCTCCTGGAGTCCATTTCAATGTGAATTGGAAACTTGTTTGTATATCATTAAGACTTGATGCTCCAAACCAAATACAGTTTTACTATTCTGGCAAGTCCTATGTAATATGGTTTAAGTTACTTGCATATGCAAATGTTTGCTAACATATGGTGCTAAAATAGAAAATAATAACATTAATAAAATGAACATAAATCTTAAATATATATTTACAGTCTTGTTAGAACTTGATTTTTAAAATAGATTAGAGCTGATTTCTGTAATATATCTTTCTTCTAGATCGTGTGCTCATAAATTCTGGTATTTTCTTTTTCCCTTCAGCCTTTTTGAAACCTAACAACCTTATCAGTATAGTTCCAGGGATTATTATATAAAAATGAAAGCTTCTGTGATGTAGAATACACTGTAGGCTTAAATAGCTCTATGTACTGCAGGTAGTAAATTAGCTTTAATAACATGCTTGACACATGATGTGTAGTGAATATTGGAAGTAGTAACATTTTAGGTACATCATCTTATTTATTCAGTTCATTTGGTACCCTTTGTGGGTCATCATCAACTTGAAATTTATGGCACTACTATTGAAAAAGTTACTGCATACCAAAGGCTTACTGAGTTGCTCTTCAGCACTCTGACCTTTGATTATAGGAACATAGAAATTAATATTGAAAGAATCAGTAAATAAGGAGAGGGATGAGGTGGTAATTTTTTACCTTAAAAGAACTGTATCAAGTAATTTACAAAGGACAGTTCTTTAAATGTGAAATGTACACATTATAATAATGAGAAACAGCTTTATTTAAAATGGAGATTTCAAATTAGCTTTGCTGGAATCTGTGCAAGAGTTTCTGGACCCATTCATTGTTCTAGGTCCAGACCTAAAGGCCTCATGTCATATACTGCTTTATGCAAATGTTCTCCAGTGATTTCTCTATCCAGGTATTGGCAGAGCTATATAGTAGGGGTTTAAATCCACCACTGATAGTGCTGTATCCCAAACTATGATTTCTCCCTTTGAACTGTTATAATAATGTTTTCTACTACATTGTTTTGCGCTGAAAATTTTTCATGTTGATCAATGCAAACATTTTTGCCCTTGTAGATTATTACTAACCTAAAATTTACTTTAATAAGATATTCCCAGATATTTGAAGGACAGGAAATTGTCCTTCAAAGGAATTGAAAATCGTATTTCACCTCTTTGTCAACTATTTTCAGTAGACTTGGAGTCAAGCCCTGAGTAAATGAGATCCATGGACATTTCTCCTTCAGGAAAAGATTTGTGCTAAAAAAAGAGTAGAATTTTAATTAATAGGAAAATTTCTGTGTTTAAATCAGGTTTTTTCAGCTTTTAATGTTTAATTATATTTATAGTTAGATAGTGAAAGGTTAGAGCAGATGTCCAAAGTGGCGCTAATGAAAGACACTATTGATTCCCTGGAAACTGAGACAAAAAGATTGGCAAGAAGAGCATTGGACTCTGAAACTGAGCTGAGCCGGCAAAAAGCTGAATATGTTTCACTTAGGTAAGTAGAAGTATTATAATTGCATTAGTTTGACAAATAACATCATCCTGTGTTTGTTAAGTTTTCATAACTGCTATATAGCTACATGGGAAAGGAATTTATAATATTTGTTCTTGTGAACCATCCTCCTTTTTGGAATGAAATTATTTTCCTCGCAGCTTATTTACATGTGAATGTTCTTGGCTTGTTGATATGATGATATGCTGAAAACCATCTTCAGTGAAAAAGTAAAATTTACTCTTGACTTAGAGGTAGGAGCTTTCTCTTAGAAACTGCAGGGATTGATTTTTATTTTTTTTACTAAATGGCTTATGAATTTTTTTAAAAATTCATTTTTATTGTTTTTAAGAGGCAAGTTCTCATGCATAAACTTATGACATCACATGTAGTTAGTTTCAAACTTCCTTTTCTTAGTCTTGGAGGTTTTTCATGAGAGGAAATAAAACTGTAGCCTACTGCTCAACCTGAGTTCTTAACCATGTTCAGAAGCAATCAAAGCCTTTAGGGAAGAAAGCATAGGTCACTGAGTGCAAGCTAAAAAGGATCACTTATTGATTGGAGGGAGAGATCAAGCACATATGAGTTTGTGTGGAGTGATAAAAAGTACTAGATCACAGACTGAACTAGGCCACAGAGTAAGCAGGCTGCAAGAGAAGATAGTGCAACTTTTTTCTCATGTTTCCTTAAATATAATTCCATCAGGCAAACACTCTCCTCAACCTATGTGACCTTACAAGTGACTGGTGTAGCCGACACATAGGTGTTGCAGTTTTTTGGTTGGATTTTGATTGGTGGGAATGTAGGGTGCTAGCATGCAATATTATGCTGGCCCACAATGTCTTTCTAAGGATACTGTGATTTCTAAAATAGCATGAACTCCTTTGCAAATCCAGTCCTGAGTTACTGCTACTTCATAATAAGTTGTCAAATTGATGAATACTGTAAAAGTTAAGCTGCTAAAGATTAGTTGCTGCTAAAATATCTTTTGGTTTTCCTCCGAAACCAGAATGATAGTTTTTTTCAGTTTCTTCAACAGCCTGAGAATCATTAATACTACTACTTGATTTGAATGTGTATCTTGGGTATAACTTGAAGTAGGTCAAGCATTCCAGTGTCTGTCCCAAGTGATTATTTGTTTTCTAATAATTTCTGATAAGTTTTTACATCCACCTGTTTTTAAGAATGCTTCTTACTTTTCTGTCATTCTTTACAGGAGTGTTCAGACTTTAATATTCAGGCATTAAGGTTAACATTAATAAAATATACCAAATAGTCTAAAATACATGGAATAATATTGTTTTTTCTAAAACACACAAAATAGTATTTTCTTAAAATTTCAAAAAGGAAAGAAGTTAATAGAGACACTTCTGAATTCTCTTGTTTAATGCTTCTGCTTTTCCAGTTTATTGCATGAAAAGGCAAAACAGTCTCTTTCAGAGATTCAGCGAAGCCTTACTAAGAAAGAATATGAAATCCAAGAGAAAATTATGCTTTTAAATGAAAAAAATGGTGAGTGACATACACAGTTTTTATAATAAAATTAAATAAAATTCAATTGTTATAGTACTACTTTTTTTCTTGGTTTTTGTTGTTTTTTTTTCCTATAGGTTGAAAGAAAATATGTTGGATGCAAATAAATATGCTTCTGACAGTTTTAACGTTTCAATTGCAAAGCATTTGTTTTTTTTCAATATTGGAAGATTTTTACATTTTAAAATGAGGTAGTAAAGCTCTTGAAAGTATCTTTCAGTAGCATTACATGCAGTCCACTGAGCAATGTGTGTTGGTGCCAATGTGCAGTGTCTGAGCATATCAGTTATATTTATGATCCACTAAGGTGGTGGTAGCGCCTCTCAGGAAAGTGTCCTTTATAGTATAGATCCCATATGTATCTTGCACCTTTTATATATTATGGGAGTAAAGGAGGTGGATACTGGAAATATTATTCCTGTAGTGCTAAGAAATATGTTCTCAATTTCAAAATTACAACTGTACTGTATTAGAAATCTTTTACTGTTTTCTATAGTTGCAGTTGACATAATCTGTTCTCAAATGCAGTGCTCAATTTGTGAAGGCAAAATAAAGCTCACCTACAACTAATGGTATCTAATGTTGGAGCTGCCTTATGCTCTTAAATATCTTGTTTTCTGTTACTTCCAAGTTAAAAACTCCAGTTATTTGGATTTAAACATTTCATTTGACATGACCATTTCACTCAAATTAATAAGAACTTCATTCAAAGTGAACTTAATTTAATGTTTTGGCTAAGGTGTTTAAGCCACTCCTGAGAAGGCCAGAGAAAAAGATATTTTATCCATGTTAAAATCCTCATATTTTGTTTCAAAAGTCCTATGCCCCTGGTACAGAAAAGTATGGACTTTGTGTTTGATAGGCATGTCAGTCTGTGTTGTTGCATGCTTTTGATCATTCCCAGGCAGTGTGTCCAAATTCTGTGTTACTGAAGCCTCAAAAGATAATAAATCAATTAGTTGAAGCTGAATAGAAACTTTTCAGAATTTGGCATCTGAGGTCTCCTATCATCTGACTGCAGCATGATCTAATCTAGATTCATTAGATTTTTTCATTACTGTGAGGGAAGTCTAGGCAAAGAATCTTGAAATTAATAGACTGCCTGCACTGTGCTATAATCCTGTCACCACAGAGATAACAGTGGAAGATACTGAAGGAGAGGAACTACAGTGCAGATTTGGAGAGAGAATGTACTGAAATAAGTAGGTTGAGAAGTTTTAACTGCAGGATCCATAAAGAGAGGATACTGAGATTACAGTTTGGATGAGGCAGCATAATATGTAGGAGAAATTAAGTGAATAAAAACCCACAGTACAAGTGAAGAATAGGGATATTGGCTGGATAAGAATTTGCAATGAGGAGGATGGGTTGTCAGAGGCTGTAAGTAGGAAACAGCAATGAAAGGAGAAACAGAGTGTGAATGTGGCATCTGGGAATGTTGGGTCAATGCAAGAAATAAGAGACTGAAAAATAATAGAGTGAGGAGAGGGAGTGAAGAAGGATCAGAGACATCCAATGAGGAGAGCTAGTATGAAGTGATTAAAGAGTCTGGAAAGATTCTTAAAACTGGAGGACTAGTTCACAGATTGTGCGTAAAATTTGGAACTATTGGGCAAACCATGGGACTAGAACCCGTGAGCAGCTATATAAACAGAATATTTAGGACTTGGACAATAATACCAAAAGCAGGAGAAAGACCACAAGTAAAAGGAGATTGAGATGGAAAATATGTATTTAGGCATTTAGTAAGTCTAGGGTAAGAAACCTTAAGACTTGAGGCTGACCAAAATGAAGAGAAAGGATGAGCAGCTAATGGTAACTTCTCAGAGAAGGGAAATTGGAGAAGATGGAAAGAAAACTTGTATGCCCACTAGTGAGCCTTTTCCCTTTTGGAGTCTGCAGTGGAACTGGGGATTTCCAAGTCTTGTGTTACCTTATCCTGTCAGCAAAATAGTACACACTTGTCAAAGTGTCTATTTTCAATGCTTGTTCGCAGAGCGAGCAGCAGTGCAGTCCCCTGATGGTTTGTCTTGTGTGTCATACAGCACATGATGGGAATACAAATTGTGTGTTTTGTTTTTCACACAAGCTAAGTAACTTATTTTGAGACAAACACTAAGAAGCAGGGAATGCCAGTCTTAAGGTCTTCCCTATTACTTAAAAAATAAACCCTAGTGTGGTTTGGTTTTTTTTAAACTCATGGTATCGTTTTTAATTACACTGTCATCTGGTGTTTTTCTATAGGAGCCTTGCTGCAACTTTTGCACAGTTTTGTAGGGAGTAAATCAGTGTTGCTAGTGAAGGAAGCTTCTCTGTCACATCTTCTCCTTAGCCGAAAATACAGTGAATAAAGCAGGTAATTGCAGAAAGAGAAAGTACCCACTTTTTAAACTGTTACATATTGTTATGCAGTATTTTATACTACTGCTCTCTGTACATTAGAATTCTGGGGTGATATATAACCAAGCTTTTCAGAATTGCTCACTAACTATATATGACCTATTTTCAGAGTGCCTAATCTGAGCTTTTGGTTATTAATTTTCAGAAATGTTGAGCACTCACATCTGTGGCAGCAATCCATGCTTGTTTAATGTAATGCCTGTGTAATACTTAGGTCACAGTTTGTACATCTAAAAAATCAGGTAACACCATCTTTGCAACCTCTCTTTAGGTATTTATATACTTTTATAAGCCTCCCTGAGCCTTCTCTTCTCCAGGCTAAACAGCCCCAGCTCTCTCAGCTTTTTCTCAAAGGAGAGATGCTCCAGTCCCTCGGTCATCTTCGTGGCCCTTTGTTGGACTCTCTTCAGTATGGCCATGTCTCTCTTTGTACTTCAGAGGCCAGAACTGCACCCATTACTGCAGTTATGTCTCACCAGAGCTGAGTAGAAGGGAAGGATTGCCTTCCTCAACCAGCTGGCAGTACTCTCCCTGATGCAGACCAGGATACCATTAGCTGCCTTTGCAGCAAGGGCATATTGATGGCTCATGTTCAACGTGGCATCCTCCAGTAAGCCCAGGCTTCCTGCCAAGCTGCTTTCCACCTGGGTGGTCTCCAGCATGTGCTGGTGCCTGGGATTGTTAGTCTCCAGGTCCTGGATTTTGCATTTCCCTTTGTTGAACTTCATAATGTCCCCATCAGCCGCTTTCTCCAGCCTATCAAGATCCCTCTAGATGGCAGCACGACCCTCTGGTGTATCAGCCACTTCTTGTTTTCCATCATCAGCAAAATTCTAGAGGGTACACCCTGCCCTGTCATCCAGATCATCAATGAAGATGTAAAACAGGCTTGGATGCAGCATTAACCCCTGGGGCACACTACTAGTTTGTGCCACAGATCACCACTCTCTTGGGCCTGGCCATTCAGCCAGTTTTGGGTGGTCAACAGCTCATCTAGGAGTATCTTCTAGGAGACAGTGCCAAAGACCTGACTGAACTCAAGGTAGACAACATCCACTGCCCTCTCCTCATCCACCAGGCCAGTCATTTCACCATAAAAGTTGGTCAATCATGACTTCCCCTGAGTGAAGCCATGCTGACTGCTACTGATGTTTTTCTTGCCCTTAATGTGCCAGGGTTAGCTGCTCCATCAGAATTTTCTTTAGAGCCAAGTTTGAACACCATCTTAACATGCTTCAGAAGGATATATCCAAAACACATGGTGGAAAAATGTGAAAACCTTTCATCCTGTGCTTTGAATTATGGAGAAGTTCTGTGGAATAAACAGAATGTGAATTTATGCTATGATGTCCCTGTAAAGACTGAGCCACAGATCATTTTACCTGGGATGTTTTATATCCTGGAAGTGGTCAATAAGTATCATCAATAAGTATAATTTAAAGAGTAATTTGAAGCCTGTGTGTTTTTTAGATGTAACATTCACTATAAGAAGGGTTTATGTGGTTCTACTTTGAGAATGCAGTATGTATATATCCTATGAGGACTGATTCTCTGACCATGGGAAGGTTAATGTAGCATGTAACATCTTATTAGCAGAATGAAGATAGGGAGAGACATCTTTTAGAATCTGATTTTGTAGTGAGTAGATTGCTTTTTTCATTATTATCTTTGCAATTTTTAAGGGGTGTTGAATGTTATAATTGCATTACTTATTCATTTTTACATAAAGTTAATTTAAATGAACAAAAAGTATTTCAGAAAAACTGGCCAATTGCAGGATATTAATCAGTCATTAGACACTAGTTTACATATTGCTTCTGTCTATTGTAATTCTGTTTAAGCCTCTGTTGTTATAACATCAAAGAATGTCATTTTTTATTATCTAAACATTTACTGTTTAAAAATGGATTGGTTCTGAGCAAGTCATTTAAGGCCTTGATCTAAGGCAGAATGCAGTTCTTTCAGTATTAGCTGCATTATTTATATGTTTTGAAAAGGTACATGTTTCAGTGTTTTCTTGAAGGAGAGCTTTTGCCATGTTTGTTTATGCTTCAGAAGTGTATCAAATGAATTTTTCTTTCAAAAGGGTTGTATTAATAAAAAAGAGACCTTTCTGCTTGTGTCCAGAAAGCTTTTCAAGACAAAGTCTTGTACAACAAGAGGAGATTTGTGCTTTGAAGGAAACAATTGCACGACTCGATAAAGAGAAGGCAACTCTGCAAGGTTGTGTGGAAGAAGGAAGAGCGAAGATCGCTGCTTTCGAGGAATCCCTGGCAACTAAAGTATGTTCTGACATGTAAATAGTCACAAAAAATAAAGAGGGAAAGGATCTGTTGGGTCATCACACCGATCTTATATTGGTATCTGCAGCAGTGCACAGAGCTGACCTGGTTCAGCTCTGGCTTCAAGGCAACAATAAAACTCCCACTGACTTCAACAGCAGTAGGATTGAGCAGTGTTGAGCATCTTGTGTTTGGTGTTTTGTATGGTTTATACTTAACAAGAGAGGAGAGTTTAAGTACTTTTCTGAAGTGGAGGAGAGTCAATTAGCCAATAAAATATCTTGTAATAAAATTTAGCCTAAATTCTTCTTAATGGTCAACTGATGTTAGAGGTGCAGGGTACCAAATATTATTGCCTTTGATGTAATTGAAGAAGGCTCTGAATTATATTCTTTTCACCTTAAGGTATTAGTTTTCCTAAGAAAATTGCATCAGTTTATTTCAAAGTGTAATTTCAAACTAGTTCTTTGCTCTGAAACACTGTTTTTCACACCAGCTTAAGTAGTTGGGATAGTGATTAAGGATAAACTAGACAAGGCACTTTTTTAACTGTTGTGATTGTTAACTCAAGAATTTGCACTGATTTTTAACAAAATCTTAAATATAATATAATATATTGAAGGACAGGCTATAATCGTCTTGCTATAAGCACTGACTTTGCCATTCAAAAACTAAGTGGTTTGGGAGACCCTGGCACGGTGTGGGACTCCCTATAGAAAGAGAGGGTCCTTAGGCCCCTGAAAGCCTGGAAGGGTCAGTATTCTCGCCCTCTTCCTGTTACAATCTATAAAAGCCAGGGGATCTGGAAGCCGAGCTCTTCTCCCTTCCTCCTCCTTTCTGCCTGCTGGGACTGCTGCTGCTTCTTTCTGTTTCCCACGTGCTCGCTCCAGGATCCAACTGCATCGGGCGCTGGGAGGAGCCGTGGAGCTCCCCCTGGAGTGGCCCTGCCCTTTTCGTATCCCTGCCATCCTCGAGATCCGTTTTCTATATCGATACTTACCTGCTCTTCCCCCACATTTTACCCTTTTAACTCGTGTTACACTAAATTTGTTTCTAGTTTCAATTCCCAAAGTTTTAAGTCTCTCTTCCGTATTCCACTTCTATCTGTCCTTGGGAGGGTGTAGGAAGAAGGGGATTAACAGAGAGGAATTCTTTCCTCTGGTTTTTGGGATTCCCCTTTAATACTTAAACCAGGACAGGTGTCCATTTTGAAGAAGAGTTGGCTGTTTCTCACTTCTCTTGTGTCTTCCATGGAAGACATTTCATTAGCCCATCTATGCTTTTACTTTCTCTACACAAAGACAGTGGTGTAAAATGATATACTCTGTGCTGCCATCTTTATGGAAATTCAGTTATGGAATAATTGTTTTATCAGTCACAAACTAACAGACTGTGGTAGTTTATTCATTGTAGGAAAGCTGTGAAAACTTACCTGATAGACAGAAAACATCGTTTAGTTTTGGAAGTGTGAGCCAAATGCTGCCTTTAGAATGCCAAAGGTTTACAATAATAGAATTTAAATTATTCTATTGTGCAGAAGGTAATAATATTTGTTTCTTTATTTGCCAGAGTAGATTATCAGAATTTTCAGCTCTAAACAGTACATGATGAAACTTGGAAATCACAATCCATTTTCCATTAAATAGTTGAATTAATCAACTAGCTGAATAAAAGGAAAATATATTTTTTTTTCCATTTATACTGAGGAGTGGGGAGAATTTATTTAAAATTTTTATTTCTTTTCAAGGAGAAAATAATTTCAGATTACAAGATTCTGAATTCTGAGTTGGAGCGTTCAAAAAAGTAAGGATAAAACGTCAAGTTAATTTTTAATTTTTGATTAATTTATAACATTAACTCAGAAATTGAATCATAGGATGTGCTAATGTAAAAGTATTTTTTTATTCTATTAAATATTAAAACGTTACAGCTTTGTTTCATGACTTGTAAACTTAACCACTGGAAAAGCTATCATTTGTATTAGGTTCAGCTATATTGTCATGCTTAAAGTGTTTTTTATTTGCTGCACAGAAAATCTGCTGAAGCACTCAGTATCTATGAGAAAGATAACACCAGTCTGCGTCAAGAGCTACAAGAAACCAACCAAGTACTTGCACAGACTAACAAGAAAAGAGAATCATTGGCTCAGGAGAATGACAGGCTACAAGAGCATCTTTCTAATCTTAAGCAAGAAAACCAGGTATATTTGTACAAAGAACCGTTAACTAAAAAGGAAAATTGTGTATTTTTCAAGTAGTGCATAGAATTAGTGGGCCCTCATCTGAAGTGAATCTGCAAACTAATTTTTAAGCTAATTTTTTAAACTCAGATTTTTCCCTTATTGCTCAGCTCACTTGTATAAAGACCAGCTGTTCTTATGTAATAGTCTAGATGTTTATCTTGAGGAAGAGCTATTTAATGTTGGGTTTGTTTGTTGTTGTTTTTTTTTCCTAATCCTTATGTGAAAGCACCGTGGCAATTACAGCTATTGCTTATATAGAAAAGTACTATAAAGGAGGCAGTGAGCATTTCTTATACTGTGTTGTGACTGGCCCACAGCACTTAGAAGCTTCTGAATGTGACTTCATAATATTTTGCCACAGTACACCTTTTAATAAGCTTCAAAACTTATTACTAGTTTTGTATTTATTTACATTACTTTAAAGTGGCTTTTGGATAAAAGATGCTGGAAATATTTGGCTATAATACATTATATTGTCCCCTGTGTTCTTTGTGCACAGTTACTAACAAAAGTAGTTAAAATACTTTATAAAGTGTCATCTCATGCACACACAAAGTTCATGCATCAATGCATTTTCCCAGCAGCTAGAAATTTAGCTTAATACCTGTAGTAGTTATCACTGCGCAGTGTTCTGGTTCTTTCTGTTTTGTTGTTCAACTTCTTGCCTTCATCTAAGTTTTTTTGGTAGTTGCTCTTTCTTCCCTGCATGTGTTCTGCTGCTTAGGATATCTTTATTTTGAAAATGCTTTCTGCTCATCTGGCTTCTCTTCCTCTACATGGGCTATCCTGTTTTGAAGGAACAGATAAAGTTCACCTGATTTTAGCTATAGAAAAGTTTGCAGGCATTAAGGCTCCCTTTTACATGAGCAAAAGTCCTCCAGAAGTAGATTCATCCCATCCCAGGTTTTTAAGAGATTCATTTTACCTCTCTCCCTTCATTAAGAGGAACTGTAGCCCACTAGATCAGATCAGGTGCCTAATTCTGCACTGCAAACATTAGGTGAGACAATTCCCACACTAAAAGACTTTTGTCAAACACACTAATCTTTTCTCTTTAGTGCCCACTTTAAATATGCTTCAAAAAGTCGAGGTCCTAGTAGCTTTAACCACCAACAACAGGTAGTGAGTCTCTAGGAACATGGATTGCTGAAAGATGCTATGCCAGGGAATTCTATGTTGAACCTCCTCTCAGAGTCCCAGTCATTACTGCACTGGTCAGCTGGTACAAAATACAGCCTCCTGTTGCTTCTAGCTACTTTTGAAAGCTTCTTGGTTTTCTTTGCAATGCTTGGATACTTGTAGAAGCAGTTAAAAAGGTTGTGTCTTAGAGGATCAACTACTTTTTAAGGGGCTTGCCTCTTCAAGACGTATTGGTTCCTCTAGGTTCTTCCAGTACCTTAGGTGATACAGTATTTAAAGTAGCATTCTCATTTATTCACTTGTACCTGAATATTCTTCTAGTAATTTTGTAAGGAGGGGTTTCTGAACAGACCAGTTCAAGACAGCCTTTCTGTGTTGTTTTTTTTTCCTCATCCTATTCTCTTTCTCAAGCAATAGTTGCCAGAAATTCTGTGTGTGGTCTCCTAATATTTATGGCTTTATTTCGCTGGGTTATGTGTGTTTGTTGTTTGGTTGGTTTAGTTTTCTTTCACGTTTTTTGTGTTTGTGGTTGTTTTGGGTTTTGTTTGTCTGTTTGTTTTCCTAAGCATCTGCTTTTTCAAATGTGGGCTTTTAAGAGGCCATAACATGAAAAAAGCAGGGATCTGACTCTACTACTCCTTAAATGGGGCAGGCTCTTTTGTAATGACCATTTAGCTGATAAATAAACCATCTGTATTTCTCTTCTTAACTGTTGCATTTTTTAAATTGACGTTTTCCTTCTTTTTAAGAAGTTACATCATTATTTGTAAGTCAAAGACATTATTTTTGACCAATGCAAAAAAACCCCTAAAACAATAGAAATATACATGGTTTAGATTTTATATAGCCTTTAAAGAATGAGTTAATAAAGCCATAGGTGTTAGATATGCACTGATTCTGTTTTTAAAGGTACAAGCCACATACTTTAACCTTAGGAAACAAATCTTTCTTCATAGGTACTATGTAAAAAACTAGGGCAGTTCCAAAAGCAGCTTGATATAAAGTTGAAAGCCCAGGAGGATTCAAGCACAGATATTGTCAGGCTGAAGGGTGCACTGAAGTCTAAAGTGAGTATATGGATTAAACGTGTTAATAAAAGCTGTTTGTTTCAGTTGTTTTTACTGAAAATGAAATTTTTACCATATTGCCATGCAAGAATTTGCTTCCTAGCTAAAACTTATTTGCATTCCACTAATATGTTTTGAATAGTTTGAATGCATTGTCTTGGCTGTTTCTGTAGCACACAAACAATGAATTATATTTAATGATTTTTTTTATATCTGTATATATGAGCATAAAAATTCACACATGTGTTTATTAAAAATTCAGACAGTGAATCATAGAGACACTTGGAACTCTTTTGTCTTTATTACTGTATAGGATTAATAGAAAAAATATTTCTGCAATGTGTTACTATACCTTGTATTTGTAATGTTAGTCTAGCCATTTTTAACAAATGTTTTTTGAGCATTAAAATGTGGCTATCTTGGACAAACAATGATATGTCACATCTGTAGATATCCCTATTTTGTGAAGGTTACTGTAAATTATTAAATATGCTTTCTATGTTAGGAGAGGGAGAACAGTGAGCTTCTGGAGAATTACCAGAAGGCCCGAAAACAAGGAGAAAGTTGGGAATCAAAATGCCATCGAGCAGAAACAGACTGTAGCTCTGTTAGACTCGCACTGACCAGGTCAGAGTCTGAGAACCTCAGGTTGAAAGAGAAAATGGAGTTCCTTGAATCAGAGATAGAACAAGTAAGTTGAAATAGTTCTTTCTGTAGTTCACCCTTGAAATGATTGGGTAGTATTTTAAGCCTGCATGTGTTTACTGTATGGAGTTTGAATTTATTGCTAGAATTTCACTAGTCACTCTTGGGGAAAAAAAATATTAAGAATAATAGCATATTCTAAGAAAAAAAATATTATAAAATGCTGTAATGTTTGGAAGGACTGAAGGCATAATGTCACACACAATTCCACAGCATACTTGAAACTGCTTTTCTGGCTTCCGGCTTTTCAACCTCTTTCTGCTGCTTTAGATGTCCCAAAGAACCTCTTCCCACTTGAAAATCTGAAGAACTGAAAGGGAAGTGCACAGCCTGCCTTTGGAAATGTGTAATGAACATAAAAACTGTCTTCTGGTTTTGAGTTGTTAGTTTTTGTTGCAGATCATCTCTGCTTCCTGAGTATCACAGAAGTTGCTGAGAGGTCTACCCATCCACATTAGATACTTGAGGAACTGAACTGCTGTTTTTCAGAAAGTGGATGAAAACATAACAGTAGCAAAACAGAAAAGGAAGGCTGTTTGGCAGATTTCCACATTTAGAAAATATAATAAAACTGGTACATGGTCCTAGTTTGTCCAATGAGCCTTAAATGGGTAGAGACTTTATCCTGCTAATTTCTTCCCACATGGTTGCTATTAAGTATAGGAATAAATAGGCCTCTTAACAAAGAATGTGTCAACAAATTGAGTCAGAATTCCACGTGTCCTGTTCAGGTTCACAGTGGTTACGTGTAAGACACATAATCACAGGAGTTTTAAAAAATCTTAATGTGCTTAGCAGTGCCCTGTGCTCCTTGTGCTTGTTTGAAGACAAGATGGAGCTAGAATTAATGTGATGTGCTCCCCCTACAGTCATCTCTTTGGATCTCATTCCTCGTGAGTCTTTGAAGGAAGTTACAGTGCTTTGTCTCTCCCTTTGCTCTGGTAACCTTCCAGACTCATTCTGCCACTCACTGAAAATTAAGTAGCTAGAAGGGACCAGAAATACAGGTGTCACCGGGCAAAGTATAAGCATTTTTCAAAAAGGAAAACCTGGTTGCCCAGGGAAGTTGTGGATCCCATCCCTGGAAGTGTCTAAGGGCCAGGCTCTACGGGACTTCGAGCAACCTCCTTCCTCCTCATCCTGGAGGAAGCTGGAGAGGTGGGATGTATATTAAGATGTCTTGGTTCATAGATTTACCATGACCTTTGGTTGAGCATTATATTGTTCTTAAAGTAAACTAGGTTTGAGTACAATACAGATGAAAGTGTTTGCAGTGTCGTAAATAGACTCAGACATAATAAAGTAGTGTCTTTATTTTAATAATTTTAATTCTTGATGTTCCTTCAAGTAATTAAGTGTAATCTCACTCTGATGGAGAGTTTGTTATACCAGGTGTTATTTCCTGCATGCAAATGGCTGCTCAGTAGTTTCTTGCTTAAACAAAATGTAGAAGTTCCCTCCTCTTCTTTAATGCCTCTGTCTACAGTCTCTATCCATTGATCCATATATTTCATAGCCTTTTGTTTCTATCAAATACATTGATATTCTGAAATAAACACTGGGTGAATTTATAAATCTGACACAGGATTTTGACTGAGGTCAAATAAAAGTCTAATTATCCATCTTGGATTGAGGGTGAATTTTGGTCATTGATCCCAGACTTCTTTTTTTCTCTCTTTTTTTGAGGTTACCATATTAGATGAAACATTTAAAGTAAAATCTCTGTTTAGCTGCAGAGCAAGTGCAAGTCATCCCATTCTGAAATAGAACTGCTGAGAAAACAACTGGAAAATGAAAGAGCATCTATGAAAAACCTGGAATCTTTGCTTGCAGCCAATCGTGAGAAAGAATTTCAGTCACAGATAGCAAAGCAAGAAAAAGACTCTGAAATTCAGTTTCTTATGGAACAGCTTTCTTTAACAGAAAATAAACTGTGAGTAACTGACCAGGGCAATATTGAGGTTGTTTCATTCTTCCCAAGTGTATATATATGTAGGGATGATTTTATATTTAGCTGCATTTTCAAATGGCCACTGTACCTTGGTTACTTTAACAGCAGAAGATACCAAAAACCTGCTTCTGATTCCTTAGCGATACCCTTATAGACTTTTCTGTGTAGTGTTCTATTTTACTCCAATAAACGTTCTTAATCTCAATTGCATGATATAACTGACCTTTTGATTTTGGATAACTGTATTTGATAACATACTCAGAGGATTGTTGTTGCTATCTAATTAAAGTGTATGGACTTCACAGTGCTGTGCAGCGACAAGATTTATCTCAGCTCAGAAACAGAGCAGCTGAGCTCGAGCTGGAACTGGATTTCACCAAAAGACAGCTGGGGACTGAGCGCTTTGAAAGGCAAGTCTGTGTGTTTGCATCGAGCTTCCTGCATCTGATTGGGGTGAAAGGCAATATTGTACTAAAACTTAGACTAATTAGTAGGTTAAACAGCAAAGTTTGATCTGCTGTATGTCTCCTGTGTGGTCAGAGGCTATTTGTGTCACTGAATTCAGGCTGGGTAGCTGTTAGACATGCTGTCTAAGTTGTCTAGGTTTCCTTTGCAGCCAGTGGAATGAGACAGCAAGATAAACTTTAATTGCTCTGGAATTATTTTAGCCCATACCAACATGGCTTCTTCCAGGTACCTCTTGGGGCACAGAAGGTGCTAGGGATGGTACCCAAGTGGCAGTATGGCCAAAGTAAATCTATCTATCTATCTATCTATCTATCTATCTATCTATCTATCTATCTATCTATTTTAATTACTTTTTGGGGAAAAGAGTTTAACAATATGTACAAGCTGTTTCATATGATTTGGTCACAGTACCAGAAAATGGTCCCTGGCCTGCTTTCTGGAGTAGTTAATCTATGTAGTCTTCATGTCTTAAATAGTTTTCATATCTGTGAAACAACAGTACTTCTCTATTTGGATCTATTGAGCATAAAATATAACTGTGTCAGAAATTATTTTGGGTATGTAAAGGAGATGGCTAAAAGAAGCAGAGTGATGCACAGGATTGAGAATCAGATGTCTTTTTTAGCTGTAGTAAATGACTTTGTTGATACTCTGTAAGGATGAAGGGTTTGATCTCTGTACATCTCTGTGCCTGATGTTACATCTTTTAAAGGTGGATTTCTCAAACGTCTCAATGTATGTTTCAGTGTCAAGTTGGATTCTCCTTTACCCTGACCTCATGGCAAAAACTGATTAACTTTTGGGTTAGATATGCAATTCAGTGTAAAAGATGGGATCATTTGTGCTTCCTTCAGCTGCATAGAATGAGCCAGACTGTATGCTAATGCAGGAGAACCTTTGTTTTAAAGGAAACTCAATCTTCTTCTGGCTGTTGTTTCTCTACTCCCCCTGTGTGAGTGCATGCACCTCATGGTGTATGAGTGCTCCCTGGTAGGGACTGCAAGTGTTTCTTCTTGAAGTGTTAATTGGCAGAAAGTTGAAGCAGCCTCCATACTTAATCTCTTCTCCTACTTAGGGAGAATTTGTTCCTTACTTGGTTGTTTATAGTTGCAATAATATCAACACTTATTTTACAGTAAGCAAAACAAATATTAGAGTGAGCCTATGCTGATGCAAAGATGTTGGTAGCTAGGTGGAAGACTGTTACTGTCTCACTGGGCTCCTGCTGCTAGAGGCAGCCTTTTTCTTGCCTGTAGATTTAGCTCCATGAGCTGGTGCTGGATCTGATTGCTCTCCTGCAGGTTTTGGTGACTAGCTTCAGTGATCCACTCCATTAGGTAGGTCTGTGGTAATGTCCAAGTCACACTGGGTCAGTTTCAGTTCAGTACCATACATGCAGTCCTTGTTAATTTGCAATGTTTTGGGCAACTTGGAGCCCTTTTTTCCAGCCTGAGTCAGTGCTGTCCTCCCAAAACAGTCATTAATTTATACTGAACTGTTGTCCAGGTTTTACTGAGGTTATACATTGAAACTCAGGGGCTGTTGCAGCCACCCTTCCTAGTATTTTTCCAATCCAACCCAGATTAGATTCTCCTTACGTAAACATCTGGCAGCCCAAGACCAGGATATCAGATGCGTAAGTACCTCCAGAATCTTTCAGTGTATTATCCAGTCCTGTGTACTTCCTCCTTGTATACCCAGATGCATGGGTTACAGACTGATCCGGTACCAAAGTGCTATGTCTTGCAGTCAAAATTACTAGACCATCATGTTACAACTTTCCCACTGGGGAGTCCAGCGTCTGTTAAACATCTATCAGTTTCAGGGCACTTCAGGTAGGCTGTGGTTCATTGGCTTTGCACAAGAATACCGCAAGCCACACTGTTCTTACATGACTATTGCTGCTGATTTTAGTGACTGGTCCTTCTGTTGCTGACCTGGGAATAACCTCAAAATTAAGCTTTTTTTTTTAAGCTCCCTGAAGATTTTTGCAATTTTAGTTTAGCCTGGAGCATTCATGACTAGCTTCTGTCTTTTAGGGAAAATAGAGACAATGGGTATGTTGAACTAGATCTCGGTGAAGAAGTAATACAGAGAGAGTCACTGATCTGTCCTTCAGAGAAGCACGATGCACACATCTTTTTAAAAAAAATAAATAAGCTGACAGCCTAAATAGGAAAAAAAAATATTATCATTACTATAACTTTTTTTGAAAAGTGCTTAATCTCACGGTAAAATAATGTTTATTTAGGGAACATGCTGTACAGAAACTTTGGCACCAGAATTGTACCATTTCATATCAGTTAAGCTCTACGTTAAGAACATCGTCACCTGAACATTCCCCTCATTGATCTCCTAATTGGTCTCTGGACTTGTCCCGGAAAGGGTAAGTAGTTAAACAACATTTAAGTTCCAAAGACTGAGGTGGGGTGGGGGGAGAACAAAAGAAAAGGATGAACTCTGATATGAATTGTTGAAATAATGTCAGAATTCCGTTGAATTACATTACGCCAAGAGAAGTTACTAGGTTCAGGACCACCATCTTTGGAAGATAGTCCTTTTGTTTTATTGAGCTGTATCAAAACTATATAGTTAATAGCAACTGCTTGCACTGGGATGCTATAATCATAAAGCCTTAAAATAGTAATAGAAATAATACTACAGGAAATATCTTTTTGACTTGCCACCATTTTGTGCAGGTGTAGATGTTAATACTTTCATCTTTCCTGAATAAAAGCTCCTAACTATCCAGCTGTCCTTCTCCTAGTAGTTTTCAGCATTGTTTTTAATCTATATATGTGCTTTTTTTTTTTACAAGAAACATAAGTACTTTCTAAAAGTCTTGAAATACTTGTAAACCTAAGTAGGAACCAGCTCAGCTTTCCTTTTAACAATCAGTGACATGGAGCCTCCACAACATGCAGCTGCTGCCCTGTCAGTTTCAGTCTCAGCTTAGTTTCCTATTTGGTAGCTACCTGCCTGTTGCATCCCACATTTTCAGTAGATTGATGGCAACATACATTAAAAAAAAATGCCAGTTGAGGGGGAAAAAGTCTCAATTCATGACTTACAGGAAATAATTTCTGCTTTTGATATAGTTACGTACTTCCAAGATGTATTTTGTTAATAGTTTGTTAAGTGAGATTATTACCTTTGGCACTTGATTAATCTGTGTTATCAAAGGCTTCTCTTAAGTACATAGGCCCTAATCATACAAGACAGGTTTCCTTTGGTCAGTGAGCTTGTTCTGGTGCCCTTAGTAGGAAAACACAGCTGTGCAAGACAGGGATTTTGTAGCTATTGCCAGTCCTGGATAGGAAGTTCAGGGAGTCTTTCATTCTATGATAGAACCACGTCTACTCCTCCTTAGCCTGAGTAGAGCGTAGCTCTTAAATTTGTTGAAATAAACATTGTATCATTTGAAAGTTTTATTTTACTTTTAATTGCCATAACACTTTTTTTTCTGGTTTTGATACCATATAAAGAAAAGAGGAATCAATCGATGTTGTCACCGTACTGGTACTAACTATTATGGTGCTTTTTCTCTTTCTGTCACTCTCTTTCCAGGGTGCTAGAATTCCTTTCTAACTAGTAAACTTGTGGGTAAATACCAAATCAAGACTAATCTTCTACAGACTAGATTATGAATTCAGCTCCTTTCTTGTTTGCTTTTTTAGGTCTTGTGGGGTTTTGGTTTTTTTTTTTGTTGTTTTGTTGGGGTTTTTTTGTTTGTTTGGGGTTTTTTTTTGTTTGCTTGTTTTTTCTCCTGGCTGGCCTTATCTGGGGTGACTGCAGACTTACTGATCTATTTATTTATACTAAATGGTTTGGGATTATTTTCCTTTAAAAAAACATCTGTGCAATGAAACTTTGGCAGTCTGTGCTATGTTTTAAAAGCTTAACTGGAAATAATTTTTCAGGTTTTGTGTAGTGTTATGATACAGTGATGAATAAAATAGCCCTTCTGATAAGGCTCTCCTGCAATAGAGGAGAGATCTGAATCTGATTCTGCTTTGCAAAAGTGATTTACGTTGGATTTATGTATGTCTCAGTGAGTGCTCTAATGCCCAGAATACTGGAGTTCTTGATAAATTTTATGTCAAGAAAAATTCAGAGTCCAAAATGAAAGAGAAAACAATATAAAAGATGGCCTGAGGGTAGAAGTGAGAATATGAATGAAAATATTTGGGTGTAATGATCAGCAGAATCACAGAATTAAGATTTTAAAATAGAGGAGGAATTGTTTAAACATGATCTAGATGTGTAAGTTCCTGTTGGATTTAAAGCAGAATACTACTAGAAATAGTCCTCCAGGATATGAAATCTCCTTTTTCAGTTGCTTGAAGACAAGTTACCAGGGATTCAAAATGATGTTGTAGAAACAGATAGTCATTGGTAGAGAGGCTTTTCCACAGCTGATGTCCAACTTTGCAGTACATGAAGTATAATGAGATAGCAGTGCTGAAATCACCAGGAGTGCCCCACCTCCTCTCTAGAGTTTTGGTTCTATTTTAGCAGACAGACTGTGATGGGAGATAAAGCAGACAGTCACCTATTATTTTGAGTACGTGACATCAGAAGTAAATTGGACAGCAACTTTCCTGCTCTTTATTGCACCAGACTCCTTGTGTCAGTAAAGTGAAAAGGATGTGCCTTGTAATTTGTCTTGCAGACCTAGTGGGAAAGACCTTTTCTGTCTGATTTTAAGTGACGTGAGTCCAAAGCTTGCCTTTCACTTCAGAGAGCATTATGGCACTTTTGTACAGAAAAATCTAATACTTCAAATGATCTGGATTGACTGCTGAAGGGACTGGGAAGCCTGTTCAAAGTGCCTTCAGAATCAAAACCTTAAAATTTTGCACATGGGAACAGCTGAATGTATTTCTGTATTCACTGAACATGAAACAGATTTATTCTCTTCTTCTTTCTAGGAATTCTTGCTTCAAGGACCTATGTTATATTCACAATGGCTTGTGAAGACTCTGTCACCATCTGAAGAGTTAGAGTTCAAGCTTAATGATAATTTAATTAGAATTTTTTCCATG